GGGAGAGGTTGCCTAAAGGAAATGAGAAGGAAAGCTACTCATGGGTAATTTGGATGAGCAAATTACAAAAATTAGGCAATATATCTGGCTTTATACTCCCTAGCAACTAAAGCTAAAAGAACATATTAGGCAAGTTTTTATTTATTTATTTATTTACTTATTTACTTATTTATTTATTTATTTATTTATTTGAGACAGAGTTTTGCACTCATTGCCCAGGCTGGAGTGAAATGGCGTCATCTCAGCTCACTGCAAGCTCTGCCTCCCGGGTTCAAGAGATTCTCCTGCCTCAGCTTCCCAAGTAGCTGGGATCACAGGCGTGTGCTACCACGCTTGGCTAATTTTATATTTTTAGTAGAGACGGAGTTTCACTATTTTGGTCAGGCTGGTCTCGAACTCCTGACCTTAGGTGATCCACTGCCTCAGCCTCCCAAAGTGCTGGGATTACAGGCGTGACCACGGCGCCCAGCCAAGTTTTGTTTTTAAAAGGAGCAATAATCTATATCTATAAAAACAAAAATTCCCTTTTGAACTAAATAGTGATAATTTATGAAGGGGCTTTGTATAATGGACATGAATAAAGTGAATCTTCAATAAGGACTTTATAAAGATGAAACAGATTATTTTCATATGCATCTCATAACTGGAGCTCTATAAATGCCAAGGCACATTTAGAACTTCTGAAGCAAAAGCACTTTGGTTGAAGGGTGATTTAAGACTAGCAGACGCTGAGTAAGACAAAAAGTGGCAGCCTCCTGTTTGCCAGAATGGATAAAAGTTGCAAGTAGAAATGGGTTCTAAAGTCCATATGTCCCTGCTCTTCCAGGTCTCCTGCTGGTTTTCAAGGACTGGGTTTCCAGTCTTGGGTGCTATGCATGGGAGCGTGGAGAGGGTGCCTATAAATGCTTTGCATTTGTGTACAAATTTGGGTTTATGGCATTTTTCTAAAAAGATGATTGCTGAACAGATTTTAAAACTTGTCTATAAAACCAAAGCTCAACAGGAGAATATCAATGTCAATGTTAATTAACTGTAAGTGTATTATATCTGCAAGAAGCAAAGAGAAATAAGAGAACACTAAAACTCAAGAGTAATAAGTTTATTCAGGGCTATTTTTGAAAGTCTATGATTATCTATTAAAAACCAAGCCAGGCCAGGCACAGTGGCTCATGCCTATAATCCCAGCACTTTGGGAGGCTGAGGCAAGAGGATCACTTAAGCCCAGGAGTTCAAGACCAGCCTGAGCAATATAGGGAGACCCAGTCACTACAAGAAAAATAAAATAAAACAAACTTTTTTTTTTTGAGACGAAGTTTCGCACTTGTTGCCCAGGCTAGAGTGCGTGCAGTGGTGCGATCTCAGCTCATTGCAACCTCCACCTCCCAGGTTCAAGCGATTCTCCTGCCTCAACCTTCCAGCCCCAGCTAATTTTTTTTATTTTTAGTAGAGATGGGGTTTCACCATGTTGGCCAGGCTGGTCTCCAACTCCTGACCTTAGGTGATCCACCCGCCTCAGCCTCCCAAAGTGCTGGGATTACAGGGGTGAGCCACTGCGCCCGGCCAATAAAACAAATTAGCCAGGCTTGGTAGTACATGTCTATGGTCCCACCTACTCAGGAGGCTGAGGTGGGAGGACCACTTGGGCCCAGGAGGTTGAGGCTGCAGTGTGCCATGATTGTACCACAGCACTCCAGCCTGAGCAACAGAGCAAGACGCTGTCTTAAAACAAAAAACAAACACACAAAAAAACCAAGCCAAAAACTAGTCTAGAGAATAGGAAAATTAACTACAGCATATATCTCATATTCCTAACAAAGTTTCCAATTGTTTTTTCCATACTGCTTAATGTCAAATCACATCTTGAAATACATTGGACAGATAAATGAAAACAAAACACAACCCTATAATAAGAACAACCTTTTCCTGAATTAACTTTATTGTATCATAGAGTAAACAGGGCTCTACTTAGACCAGGTGTAATTTAATTTGCTTAGTGATGGAAAAAATGATGAAGCTTCCTGAAGTACTTTGGTTTTGCATGGAAGGGCCCTGAAATTGAGGCAGCACCTTACTGGGAAGTGAGCCTGGGGGCCCACTTCTTTCCCCCTTTACTGAAAAGCCATCAGAAAAATTTTGTAAACTCGATGCAGCCCCTTACCAATCTGCCACATGGTTGGTGCCTTGTGTTAAAGGCTACAGTGAATTACATATTTGGTCTATACGTAACCTTCTCTTCTGCCACCTGTACTTTGACCCTTTTCAAAGTTAGGATATGAGCAACGGTTCCCCCGCCACCCTGGGGTATTCCTGCTTAAATCCTCTCTGTAAGTGAGCAATGGCATATGTTTATAAGAAGGCTGTCTGGGCGGACGCAGTGGCTCATGCCTGTAATCCCAGCACTTTGGGAGGCTGAGGTGGGTGGATCACGAGGTCAGGAGTTCGAGACCAGCCTGGCCAAGATGGTGAAACCCCGTTTCTACTAAAAAAATTAAAAAATTAGCCGGGCACGGTGGCAGACGCCGGTAATCCCACCTACTCGGGAGGCTGAGGCAGGAGAATCACTTGAACCCAGGAGGCAGAAGTTGCAGTGAGCTGAGATCATGCCTCTGTACTCTAGCCTGGGCAAAAGAGCAAGACTCTGTCTCAGAAATAAAAAGAAGGCTGCCTACAGGTCGTAGTCCAGGCTGTGGTTGGGTAACTCACCTATGTGGGAATCAAACCACAAGGCTGAAGCTGCGAAGCATGGGGCTCTAATAGAAGTAGCCACACAGAAACTTCACTGTGCCCTTTTCGTCTTTTTTCTTTTTTTTGCAAACAGCAAATCACCCACCTTGAGGTCATAAAGGAGCTGGAAGCTGCTGGGTGCTTGTGCTGCTCTCTGGACGGCCTGAGCCAGGGCTAAGGCACCCTTGCCCCCTTCTGCCCAGTGAGTGCACTTCACGGCATCAAAAGCCCCATGTTCTCTGGAAAGGCGGCTGATGAGGTCCAGCTCAGCCTCTGTGTCTGTCCTGTAAAGGAAGCACTTCATATGAAAGCATGGAAAATAGTTGGAGAGACAGAGTCTGTCTTCTTTTTGCCATTAAACCTCATGTGAATCACCCACTGATAAACAAACATTAACTAAGAAATTCAGCCTGGGTTTGAATCTCAGGTCTGAAACTTACGAGCTGGTGACTTTTGGCCAGTTACCTAAGCTTTATGTGCTTCAATTTCCACCTGGGTAATATGAGAATAATCACAGCACTTATTTCATTGGGACATCATGAGACTCAGATGGTAAATTCATGTAAAGTACTTGGAAAATTCCCAGCACTCCACAAGGAATCAGTAGATACTAGCTTTTAAGAATTCTGCTGGCTGGGCGCGGTGGCTTATGCCTGTAATCCCAGCACTTTGGGAGCCTGAGGTGGGAGGATCACGAGGTCAGGAGATCGAGACCATCCTGGCTAACACGGTGAAACCCCATCTCTACTAAAAATGCAAAAAATTAGCCAGGCGTGGTGGCAGGCGCCTGTAGTCCCAGCTACTTGGGAGGCTGAAGCAGGAGAATGGCGTGAACCTGGGAGGCGGAGCTTGCAGTGAGCGGAGATCGCACCACTGCACTCCAGCCTGGGCGATAGAGAGAGACTCGGTCTCAAAAAAAAAGAAGAATTTTGCTTCCCATTCTACTGTGGTGAGGCCATTATAACAAAACCCTGACCACCAGTGCAACACCTAAACAACCCACACAAGTTCTTGCATGACCCCTTCCAGTGTAATATGCCCAATTCTTTGTCAAGACAACATCCCACCAGATCAGTAAAATAATGGAACACTATAGGCCTATGACCTTCTGTTAGCATAAAAGGCCTCTAAAGTTGAAAAAGGAACACCGAACTTCAGGCTTGTGTGTTACTTCCCCCAGTGGAAAGAAAAAGGGCCCACAGGAGCTGAATCTGACTTTGGGACCCTCGGTGGGTGAGGTGGTGAGCCCGCTGTGACGTACGCAGTGCCTGTCATGGTGCTGGCTAAAACCACAGGCTATAATAGCAGTAACTGAAAAACAAAATAAAGCTAAAAGCAGTGCTGTACAATCAGCTCCAGAAGATTTTCCACATTCATCCTTTTCTCTTACACTCTACACTTACTTGAATGCATTCACGGCCACTACTACTGGAATTCCAAACATTCTGGCATTTTCGATTTGTTTCTTCAAGTTACTGAAGCCTTTTTCAACCAGCTCCAGGTTCTATAAAAACAACAGTGAAAGGTCTACGAGATCAGAGAGTTGAAAACCACTGCAGGTTCTTCTTCAAAGGCAAACAACCTCCTTGAGCCAGCAGCCACTCACTGTCAGGACAAGGAGGCCAAGAAAGAAGAGAAGGTCCCTTGGTGCATTTCTTCCAGTGCTGTGAGTGGATGCTATGGAGGACTGCAGCTTTCACTCCAGCCTATGACACTCGAGTGGAGCTCTGCTTGTTTCCCAGCCTTCGAGAAAAAAAGTGCTGGTACATTTGCTGTCATTATGCCATAACATTATAGCTTTTTTGCTGTTTGAAAGGAGTTAGTTACCCTTACCCAAATTATATTTACAAATTGTGTTTTTAGATTTTATGTATTCGTAGGGGTATGATAATACAAATTGACTCTACTCGGCACAGCACAGACCCTTCCATCAGAAGACAGAGTCTAACAACATAGTGGCTGGCACAGAAGAGGTATTCGTTACATGGCTGCCGTAAATACTGCCAGGAAATATGAAGTAAGCAGCGACATTTTCAAAGGTTTTCATGAACTCGGCTGTGAATGAGGGCAAGAAATAAGATAAATACTGTCTTTAGGAATCAGGCCAGTGGCTGGGCCCAGTGGCTCACACTTGTAATCCCAGGACTTTGGGAGGCCAAGGCAGGAGAATCCACTTGAGCCCAGGAGTTTGAGACGAGCCTAAGAAACATAACAAGACCCCGTCTCCACAACTGAAAAGTTAATTAAAAAAAAAAAAAAAAAAAAAAGGCCGGGTCTGGTGGGGTGGCTCACACCTGTCATCCCAGCACTTTGAGGGGGATGAAGTGGGTGGATCACAAGGTCCAGAGATTGAGACTATACTGGCCAACACTGTGAAACCACATATCTACTAAAAATATAAACATTAGCTAGGTGTGGTGGTGGGCACCTCTAATCCCAGCTACTTGGGAGGCTGAGGGAGGAGAATCACTTGAACCCCAGAGGCGGAGGTTGCAGTGAGCCGAGATTACACCACTGCACTCCAGCCTGGCGAAAGAGCAAGACTCCATCTCAAAAAAAAAAACAAAAACCAAAAAACGAGCTGGATGTGGTAGCTCACACCTGTAATCCCAGTACTTTGGCAGGCTGAGATTGGAGGATCACTTGCGCCCAGGTGTTCGACACCAGCCTGCCTGGGCAACATAGGGAGACCCTGTCTCTACGAAAAATTAAAAAACTAGCCTGGTGTGGTGGCATGTTCCTGTTCTTCCAGCTAGTTGGGAGGCTGAAGCAGGAAGACTGCTTGAGTCCAAGAGTTAGAGGCTGCAGCTTTGATCACGCCTCTGCACTCCAGCCTAGGTGACAGAGTGAGACCCTGTCTGTCAAAAAAAACCAAAAACCAGCCAGGCGCGGCAGCTCACGCGGTCAGGAGATCGAGACCATCCTGGCTAACATGGTGAAGCCCCGTCTCTAATAAAAATACAAAAAAATTAGCCGGACGTGGTGGCAGACACCTGTAGTCCCAGCTACTTGGGAGGCTGAGGCAGGAGAATGGCGTGAACCCAGGAGGCGGAGCTTGCAGTGAGCCGAGATGGCGCCACTGCACTCCAGTCTGGGTGACACAGCGAGACTCCATCTCAAAAAACAAACAAACAAACAAACAAACAAACAAAAAAACCAAGTACTACAAACTAAAGGGAAGCCATTAAGGAAATGTACCTTTAAGTATGTTTACTGCAGCCCTGCTTGTAGCATTGGAAAATTATAAACATAAACCTCCTCCAAGGGGGACTGGGCCAATGAATTACAATACATACACTCAATGAATATTTATCATGCAGATGTTATGCAAGTGAGACCCATCTGTGTTAACATGGAACCTGTCCAAGACGTACTAAAGGTGCAAAACCATGGAGAGCTTAATTATTCCATTTTAGGACAAACACAAAAATACATGCGTATAATTCATGATAATTTTTTAAATGTTGAGAAATATGCTGTGAACTGTTAAGGGGACTCAACTCACATATATTATATTCTTGTAATGTTTGTTTATTTTTTTTTACAAAGGCTATATTACTATTGTAGGCTTAACAATACATTAAATATTTTAAAAATAAAAGAGTCTTATAAAAATACATATACTGAATCATGAGCAAAACCCAGCAGTAATGTTTGTGGATACCAAAAAAGCAGAAATGGGTAGGATAAAAGGTGGAAAACAACTGATTCATTATAAATATGATTTATGCTTTTTTTCCTTTAATAATTGAAAACTGAGATTATGATTTATTTGAGCTTCTAAAGAACACTGCTAATTCTTTACATGAAAACCAATTAATATGTAAGGCTGATCAAGAACAGTTTTAAATAAGCAGAATGTCTTAAATGAAGACACCAGCTGGGCCAGCTAGGGGCAGTCACTGTAATTAGACACAGGAAAGGCTGTGGGGTGGCAGGAGGGCCAGAACTGTGAATTCCCCTCCTACGCGTGAATCAGACAAATGACCATAAAAGGCAAACCATAACTCAGATGACAGGCAGACTCAAGGTACCAGCAATTTTTTTCTAGCCAGTTTTGAAATACTTCATTTGGGGCCTGAACACTGACCCTGTATTGCTTGATAATTTAAAAGCCTTCCAAAAAGGCAGAAAAATTGAATTAGCAGTGACAGCAGGTGACCTTGCCACCTTATCTGATGGCCTGTCTCTCCTGTAACCACCCCAAACTGGCTTCAGAGATGTTTCTTTGATGGTAAATGACATAAATATGAAAAGGTTTGAGCTCACAGTTGTTCTCTAGCTTCCTGTTTGTTGCTATAAATATCCAGGAAGCTTTGTCTAGAAAAACCACCAGAATCCTGACCATATATCTTGGCCCTTTAATATTGATTTAAATCTGGAGAGGAGAAGCCATTTCAAAAAAGGTCTCCACTTGTTTCTGATCTGAACGGCATTTGGAACTTACCCAGCCAATGCAGGGAAGACAATGGAAGGGAACTGCTATTAGTCTAGGACAGGGTTTCTCAGCCTCACACTCCTGACATTTGAGCTGGATAACGTTGTAGGGGGCTATCCTGTGCATTAAAGGATGTTTAGCCAGCATCCCTGTTTCTACCCACTAGATCCTAGTAGCACTCCTCACCTCCAGTTGTAATAATAAAAAAAGTCTCTAGACATTGCCAAATATCCCCGGGGTCAAAATCAGCTGTTGAGCAGCAACCACTGGTCTAGGGCAGTGGCTTATTGACACCCTATGTAGGACAATTCTGTTTTGTGAGGCCCATCTTCCCTATCTACTCATTTAATGTAACTACTCAGCACACTGCAGGCCTTTTGGCACAGACCCTGCACCCTGGGTCACAGCAATAACCCATTCATTTCCACAAGGGCCAGGTGGAGAAATGCTGATTCAAAGTATGGTGCTTTCTAGGACATGTGATGAGAAATAACTGAGGTTACCTCCTCTATGTAAGCCTTGGGAAGAGGCAGTCCAGCAGTGACCTGGAAGGAAAAGAAACAGAGTCAGAGGCATTTCCTATTTAAATCTCCTAGCTTAAAACGGTGCTTGTCATGTGTTAAAGGTAAGAGGCTGCAATGCTTGCAGACTGTACAGTAGTATAAGATTATTTCCTGCCCTAAGGACTTAAGGCATGTGACCAATCACACAGCACAGAACAAAAACGACTGCTTTGAGCAGCGTGGAAGACCTCTATGACCTGAATTAAGCAGGTGAGAAGGACCGGATCGATGGTGGGAGAAGTGGAAAGGGGTGTACCCTAGGCAGATGCAGTGACTCATCGAGTGAAGGCCATAGCAGTGGGGTTGGGAATCAAGGGCAGTGTGGGGAAAGAGGAAGCGGTCGGGCCTGCGGAAGTCACCCTGGGATGTCTGTCGATGGAGCCTGTGATGAGCCCTGCTGTGGTTTCATGAGCTGGTCCACAATGCCAACCCAGCATTGGTGGAGCTGAACCATGGTGTAGGGTCAATACAAACAAGAGGGAAAACAATACAGAAAGATTTTCTTTCTCTTTTATAGACTGTATCTAAAGGATGGAGATGTCTGGTGCCACCCTCCCCCTCAACGCCCCCCGGCCCCCAGTCTTGATCTATGCCATGGCTCAGCCCTGTTGCATCCACAGAATTGAGCAAGTGGGTGAAGGTGTCCATTTCATGGGCCCCACCATGGGCAGTGGATAGTGATTAGGAAGCTCCGTCCTCTCCCACTGCAGTGAGACCATGGTGCTCCAACTCCAGAAGGGGTCATGAGGAGGCAGAGCAAGAAGCAAGGACCTTACACGTAGCTTCCCGTCAGTAAGGTAATGGGAGCAGGACGCCTACTCCCCTGACAGAGCCATATGTGCAAATGTTCCCCTCCATGCACAGCATTACAGGACATTATCCTGACTGTGAGGTCAGGAGGAAGCAAGGAAAGGAGGTGCGATGGTGTGAGGGTGAGTGAGGGGTGTAAGAGAGAGGAATGTTAGTTGTGACTGGGGAAAAAAAAGGGAGTCTATTCTGCGCTACTAGCAGAAAGGGGTGTGCTGGGTTGGGAGTGCCTTTGGCACTCAGGGATAATTAAGACTGGATGGGGTGCTGGGGTTGTTATGGCAGCATTCCCAGTGTGCTCTGGGGACCCAATCCTTTGAAGGGGTCCATGAGGTCAAAACTATTTCCATAAGATTCCTAACATCTTATGGCCCTTTTATTCTCATTATCATCCTCTCATTGAGCATATAATGGACTTTTCCAAATGTTATGAGACATGTGATGTCACAACAGATTAAGTGCTATCTTCAATTAAGCCGGACCCAGAGAAGATCTGAAAAATGGACAATGCCTAAATTTTGTTGGGAAAAGATAGTGCATTTTCATGTTTACAAAGTTATTTATGTTAACATGTAATTCAGTTTTAATTTCTAATGTGGTAAATATCAATAGCTATAACCCACATGAACAAAAGCTCTTTAACTGTCAAGCTCAATAACTGTCAAGAGTGTAAAGAGGTTCTGAGGCCAAAACAGAGAACTGCTACATTAGAACAAACCCTGACCAAAAGAAATTTGATTTTTATCCTGTAGGTGAGGGAAGCCTTATTTCCTAAGTTACAATACAAGCTCCTGGTGGACAGGAATTTAATAGTTTTTCAAATGATTTCAGAAAACTAGCACCATGTCTTTTCATGTAGGACCTAAAGAAAAGGTGTTAAAATACTAGGATAAAAAGTAGAGTAGTAGGAATTTCTAAGCAGTAAGAATTCAGAGAAATACAAAATTCAGGCTGGAGGTGAGGATGAGCCAGTCTCCACCTGTTTCTCTGTTACCAGGGCAGCCCTGGGCAGATCTGTCATTCTCCTCTCCCCTGCTCCCTCCCTAGGGTGTGGAGGCCCTGTCCAGCATGAACTACTCAAGAAGGGGCTGACCTCTGTCTCAGCTAACTGGTTTGGGTGGCTGGTTGCCAGTGTCACTATACAGAGGGATGCAGATTTAAAAAGAACAGTCTGAACATAAAACAGTTTTTTGTGGGGCTAGCCAAGCACACGTCCTTGGAGGGGTTTAGATGTTGTCAGATGTCCTCCGAAAGGTAGGCCAGGCAGCCGATTTTGGCCCTCTTAAAATGCTGAGCGCTGACGGTGCCTGTGGGTGATAAGGCAGCCAACACAAGGGCTGTCTGCCCATCCCTTGCTTTTGCTGCCTATTAATCACGAGGATAAAAGCAGCTCAATGAAGAAACAGGCAGAAGTCATCCAACTTCCTTTCGGCCGTCAGCACACTGCTGATAATCAGACACTTCAACCCACTGCTCACCGTGGGGCCGCCCCCGTGCATCTTGAGAGCTCTGACAGTGGCAACAAGCACCACCACGTGAGGGCGGAGGCCGGAATACCGGCATTTGATGTTAAAAAACTTTTCCATTCCAATGTCTGCTCCAAATCCCGCTTCCGTCACTGTAAGGAAGAAAGCAACAGTAAAAATGCCATCCCAATTCCCCTGATGTTAAAAGAAATATACAGTCTATTCACTGGTTTTGCAAAAACACTCACCTACAAACCCTTCTGGTCCAACAAGCTTCAGTGCGATCCGGTCTGCAAGGATGGAGGAATTGCCATGTGCGATGTTGGCAAACGGGCCAGCATGGACAAACACTGGAGTGCCCTGTGGAAACCAGGACACCGTGAGCTGAGCTGCCAGTCCTGCTTCAAAGTGGGATCACACACTCAAGAATATGGAATTGATTTAGAATCAGAAGGAAAAATACTTCCCAGAGGGAAAATACAAAGTCATCTCTTTTATTTTAGTAACCTCCCAGTCACAGGTGTGAGGAAGAATGAGAAGAAAGAGATGAGCAAGTGGAGAAGGTCTCGACTACCCAGGTTAAGTGTGCTTTATAACCACTCTGCTCTGACTGTCCAAAACCAATTCAAGAAGGCAGGAGTCACTCTGCTCACCTCCAATGTCTGCATGAGATTGGGCTTGATTGCGTCCTTCATAAGCACTGTCAATGCACCACTCACCCCCTACAAAACAAATGTGTGCAGCGTGAACTCCCACCAGCAAAAAAACCCAACCTTCTGAAACCAATATTTGACATTCTAGGCTTACCCATGTTAGCCATCTTGGACCAACTGATACTTTCACCTGAATCAGACCATTCATGGTTTCTTTCTGGATATGCTAGGAAGTTGCCAATTATTTATTTATTTATTTTTTGAGACAGAGTCTCGCTCTGTTGCCCAGGCTGGAGTGCAGTG